CACACACACACACACACACACACACACACGCACACGCACACGCACACGCACACGCACACGCACACGCACACGCACACGCACACGCACACGCACACGCACACGCACACGCACACGCACACGCACACGCACACGCACACGCACACGCACACGCACACGCAAACGCACACGCACACGCACACGCACACGCACACGCACACGCACACGCACACGCACACGCACACGCACACGCACACGCACACGCACACGCACACGCACACGCACACGCACACGCACACGCACACGCACACGCACACGCACACGCACGCACACACGCGCACTCGTACACACAAAGCAACACACAACGCACAACACCAACACACAACACAGACACACACCCTTTTCCAGAGGACATTTACTTCTTCCTGCAGCAGGGCCTGGTGTCGCTGTTCCACAGGGATGAGGTCCAGCACGTGGCGGGCAAGAAGTATCGCTTGAGAGGGGAGGAGGTGGAGTTCGATCAGGTCTTCCACTGTCAGGAGACGGGGATTTGGGTTCCTTTTCAACTCTATTTTTCTTTGAGGCGAAGGGTTCCTTCTTGAGTTGCTAAGGGAAGCCAAAGGGAAAACCTCATCCATTCTGGAGGGTTGCTATCTTAAGGCAAGCCCATTTTTTGATTGCCTGTAGGTTTCCCAACAGTTTCATTCTTGGGAGGTTCGTGAGGGTTGCCTTTTCATTGGACTTCCCAGACTCCTAGTGAGGTGTTCCCCTATTTTTGTTCAAGTTCTTGTCAGGGAGGGAGTTTCCCGTATCGACCGGCCAAAAGGGAGGCACAACACACCGGGGCGAATGACGCCTCCGAACTTGGGCGCATGCCGGGGAACGAGTAAGACGGCAGCCCTTTTATCACTTGACATCTGGTGACTGATAGATGTGTGTGTGTGTTTTTTGAGGGTACCCTTTTGGGGTTGTTTCATAATTGAAGGTACCCTTTTGGGGTTGTTTTATAAGAACAAACAAAAGGACCCTCCCAAGATGTTTTTTTGGACGGCCGGACTCCAAACATGCCACTTGAAGTTGAAAGCAACAGCCGCTAGAGGAAATCCCCGCTTCAGTCCGGGATTAAGCTTGCTCTTGAAGCACTGCGGAACTCGTTGTAATTCTTGAGGACCTCGCTTATAGTATGGGGCTTTCACTTCCTCTTTCTTTTCTTCTCCCCTGCACTTGCCAGAAGCCCGGTTCAGGGTCAAGGGTGGACACGGACCTGTTTTTTTTTTTGTCGGAATCGGTGCCCCTTTTTTGGGCAGCGGATTTTCCAAAGTCAAGGGGGGAATACATTTTGGTTAGAGACATACCCCGCACCCCTGTGATTCCGTCTGCCAAAAGCATGTAAACAAGTTCGCCAGGGCTTCTTTTCGGTAGAGGCAATTCGCATGTCCTCCGAATCCTCTCCTGAGGGTTCCAAGATTAAGGGTGCCACGGTTCAAATGGACAGCGCCGGCAAAACGAAAAGGGCATGGGAAAACGCCAGGCAAACCGAGGGCTTGAGACCGGGTCGCCTCAGGAGGCCAAGCATCGGACTCTGGACATGCCGAACATTTGCCCGCACTACTCCTATGCGGAGCACTTGTTTGGCATGTGGCGCCTCAGCGATAAAGGCGCTTAGCTTGGAGTTGAGGTGTTTTTGATCCGAAGGTTTGAGGGGGTTTGCTCTAAGATGCTACAAAAGCTCCTTGATGAAAAGCCGCGGTTGATCAGCTTTTGGCTCAGGGAACTCCATCTGGGTATCATCATTTGGTGCCAATGTTGACCGGTTTTCCTTTTGGAAGGGGGGCCTGTAAGGATCTCGTTCGGGGATCACATTTCTATTGAAGGATTCAGAGAGAGGGGTTGCAATGAAGACATTCTTATACATGTTTTTTTTTAGCGACCCGTGTCCCTTAGAATGAACATTCTTATCACGACCGAGCCAAACGTTGCAAGGTTTTTTTTCCTCAGGTTATCCTAGTTGCCGGTTTGGATGGGGGCTTGGGAAATCCCCCCCCTTCAAATGGACAGCTCCCCCCTCACCTCCCAAGCACCAATTGGGGTATGCCATTTTTTGGGAATCGGGAACCCCCCTGCAACACTAGGATTTCGGGTTTTCCTTTCGTCTTCACTTCAAGCCAAGCAAAAAGGGTACCAACTCCAACTGACCTGGGCGAATTTTCCCCAGCCGCCCACCCCGGAACCCCCCCAAAGCCGCCGTCAAAGGAACGCCTTCGAGCGGATTCCGAGGAACAAGGCCCGGCCGAATCTGTTCTTCCTGGGGACTACGAGGCCTTACACCGGCGCCTTTGGATGCGTGGCCGAGGTGGGGGGGCTGGTTTATTTTTTTTTGGAAGAAGTCCTTCGGTCAGCCCGGCTGGCCAAAGGCCAGACCCATGCCTTGTCATTTTTTTTTTTGAGGGGGAGGTGGTTTTCAGCTTTTTGGCTTGTTTTTTGGTTGTTTGCGGCATTCTTGTGTCTAACAACCAGAAGTGAAGTGCGCGAAAGGAAGTCTATGTTGGGCACTTCTATGGACTGAAGGGACCCGCGAGCAACGGACAAAGAAACCAGGCTATCCTCTTAGGGGTTGCCTTTTCTGACTGCTTCTTTGCAGATAGCTGGGTATTGTTTTTGCGCGGCCTCTTATTGGGTTTGCAGGCTCCCTATGAAGGAACTTTCATCATGAGTGGCGTTATTTGCCAAGAGCAATTCAGCTGCAGCCAGGCACTGGCAAAGATGGGGTTTGGCATGGCGAACTGGTTCTAGAAATTGGCGGCTTAGGGATCTTAAGTTGACCTGGCCTGTCGCTGGAAAGTGCACCTGCCGGAAATTGTCACGTTTTCTTTCCGACCCGAAAGAGGAACAGCTGGTTGAAGAGGACAGTTGAACATTGGGTGTGTAACGCAGGCAGTGCTACAGGGGCAGGGTACTTCGCAAATCGCTGGTAAGTGCTCAGAAAACAGATAGTCCGGAGATGGTGAGGAACAGGCAATATGTTCTTCCCTAGGGGGAAGGGGGGGTTCATTGAAACTCAGCAGTATGGGTGTGTTGGGAGCCCTTGGACGAAGGGAGCCGGAGAACATCAATCCCCCTACCTTCGGCACAGCATCTCATTCGGTTGCCAGGAATGGTCTAGAGGTCTCCCGCAATTCCAGCAGGCAACCGCCCACCGCCGGGCCCACCGGTCCAATCTGCAAACCCTGCCAAGTGTCTTGGATAGTGTTGGGACGCCAGAAGGAGGCCAGGGAAACCAACATACTGTGGATGAACAAAATCCAATTCGCACCACCTAAGAAACCATGCAAAGCCACTGTTTCTTGGCATTTACATGGGGAATCGTCATTCCAGGGTTTCTTAGGTGGTGCAGGATTTCGTCCATCCACAGTATGGATACCTTGCTTACTATTGTCTTCTGTTACCAGAAACCGAGAGAGGCCATCCAAAACCGATCATTTTCGGTGGGTGAGTTCCAAGTCAATTTGCCAAGAACATTCACACCACTTCAGGCCTTTTCTGTGAGTGCCAAGGGCATTGCCTTTGACGCCGCCATGGTCAAAAGACCCCTCTTGGGGTAGGGACGGTCATGGACCCTTTAGGGGAATTCTGACAACCGTCATGCGGATTCCTGTTGGGGGCCATGAACACGGCCCACATGCAGTTGGATGAAAGTAGATGGCAAAGTTCTCAAGTTTTATAATTTCCTCTCACATGAAGGGAATAGTGCGCCAACCTTCAGTTGGGTGGAGTTTGGGTTCGCAGGTGAACGCCATGTTTGTCCACCGGATGATCACTGACCACTGCTTTGCTCAGAAGATCTCGGCACAGTTCCCGTCGTATCTGCACCGGCAGAGGGTGACCCACTACGTGCAGGCTTGGTGCTTGCTGGGACGTTCTATTTTCACCGCTTCTGGGGGTTATCATTGTCCGTGCGTTGTTTCCCGTTAAGCTACCTAGACGATGGGCCCCAGTAGCCTTTTTTTGTGACTTTCCCCACCGGAAGGGAGGTGCTGCGTGCTTTTGTTGTTCGGCTTGGGCTGTTTAGAAGGGAGCCGAAAGGGACACCGCACATTTCGGGTCCGCGCCAATTTTACTCTGAATTAACACGTGGTTGTGGAAAATGCCTGGTTTGAGGTTGCAACTTTCCGCGATATCAACAAACCACGGTTTCCTTCAACAGGCCAGTGGTCGAGGGGATGGACTGTCCACTTGGTTCTCGCCAGACAAATCCGACGGGTGACTTTTTTCGCGTGAGGCGTCTGAGCCGGATAAGCTCCACGTCCACTGGGCCGGGATGCACATGTTACGCGTGTCTGAGGTGGGGTCGGAGGGTTTGGCCGGTCTCAAAACGTTGTCGTAAGGGCGGCAGGTAGCCTTTTCGTGTTTAGTGGTTCTATTCCCATTTCGCCCACTCAAAGTTCTTCACTTTTCTCGGGGGATCTGAAAACGGACAGCCGACAGCCCAGTGATCAGGTCTTGGGCTGTGACTTGAGCTACGCGGAGGCTCGGAAGCTCGGCCTGGCCACGGAGTGGATGACTGGCCCCATCAACGCGCTGAGGCTGGCGGTTGTTCCAGGGCCCCACGAGCGAAATCCAAGCGACCCAAAGCAACGGGGGGCCCCAGGGATACTTAAGTCCACCGCCGAACCGTTGCCTCATCGGGGTTTCTACATGTAGGTGGTTTTGAGGTGGTTCAGGTAGCGGAAAGGGCCAGGGTCCCCACAGGTAATATGGGTAAGGGGGTCCCTCAGATAACTTAAGGCCAGGGTTCCCTAAAGGTTCCTCAGGATGGATGGGCTGCAAAGAATAGCCTGGGTGAGCACCTCGCACGGATTGGGTGAGCGTGTTTTGCGGTATAACTGACCGACGAAACCCTTGAGGTGCCGCATTTGCGGGCCCTATGCCACGGAGGGCGCGGCGGCAAAGTACCGCCGCTCCTGTGCCAAGCTCGGCACCAACCAGATGTATCTCAACATGATCTATCGCGACCCGGCTCTCTCTTCGCGCACCGTTTGTTTTGGGTGTGTTTTCCTGTTTGTGTTGATTTGCCTTGAGAAGTTCCACTCATTTTTGGGTATTCGGTCCCAGTTCGGAGGAGGTCCAGCGCCCTTGGTTTTGAAAGGGGTCAAGGGTCAAAGCTCCGCAGTTCACCAGGCCTTTCCGGCTGAGTTACGATTTCCCGGATCGTGTCGAACAAGGAGCCCCGGCTTCCTTGTCAAAGGGGGCTGACAAAAGGGCCCCCCGCAAAGACCCACATTTTTCACCTTTGGGCGATTAGACACCTCAAGAGGGTCCCAAGCAAAGAAAGACGCCTTCCCTTTTTTAAACCAAAGCTCTGAATAGAAAGCAGCTTTTGTGCCCTGGAAAATAGCAAACACACGCATCCCCTTGCCAAGGAGGCCACCTTGAAGCCTGTGACCGGACAACCCCAGGGTGCACCAAAAGTCTGGCCATCCAACTACTTGGCTAGGTTTTCATTTTGGTTGCTTTGATTGAAACACAGAGGGCGACTCCTCGAATCTACCAGACCCATCTACTTTCCACAAAGGACAAGCTTTATGCTGGGTGGCTTTGGTCCTTTCGTCTCCTCTGCTGGTGGTGCCCTTTTTTCCTTTTCTTGGGCAAGGGTTTTCCTTGAAAGTCAGCCAACCAAAAAAGGATGCCTGCTTTTGTCCCCGAGTCGCTTTTTGGCCGCATCCAGGTTTTCTTTGGGGCATTTTGCTTGGATGTTCGGACTTTCACTTTTTGCCAACTAATGGGGTTTCTATTAAACCACCAAAAGTTATTCACATTTACCCAGTCTTGGTTACTCAGTTCTTCAGTTGCACCCTCTTTCCCCTGTTTTTTTGGGTGGCTGAGTTCTCAAAAATGCTCCAAGCCGCACGATTTTTTCAGAAGGGTTCCCTGACTGTCTTCTTCTTTTTTCGCCTGTTTTTGTTGGTGCCCCAAGAATGGGTCCAAGCCCCAAGACTTTTTCAGAAGGGTTCCCTGTTTTCTTCTTTTTTGCCTGTTTTTTTGGTGCCCCAAAAATGGGTCCAAGCCCCGAGACTTTTTCAGAAGGTTTTCTTCCCTTCCTTCTTCTTCTTCTTTTTCTTTCCCCAGGGTCACTGAACCGCACCGAGCCCAAGGCACCTGGGGGGATCGCCTGGTGGTGGCCTCCTGGCTCCCCACGCTGCTGCTGGCCGCGGGCCTCGGCTGGCGCCAGCTGGGCCCCGCGGAGCGGGCGCTGGCGGCGGCGGGGCTCTACTTCCTGGCCGCCACGCCCACGGCGCCCAGCCGGCTCCGGGGCTTCCTGCTGATGCTGGCCTTTGACGCTCTGAAAAATAAAAATAAATAGATAAATATATAGATATATATATATATATATGCATGTATGTATATATATATGTATAAATATAGTGAGGTGACGAAGGGGATTTAGATTCTTGTGGCCCCTGACATGTTTTTTCTCGGAATGGAGTGTGAGGACTTCATTGAAAGGGCTTGGCGTGTTGCTTGGCTTCGTGGGCGGATGTCTTGAGTTGCGGATGCCCTTTCAGGGTTCTCCTTCGGATTCGGCTTGAGCCGTGGAGGGCAATGTTGATGGGGTAGACCACTTGAGCCGTGGCAATGTTTTTATGATTTATGGGTGTGGGTCAAAATTAAACTACCAGGAATCGGACCGCAGGTTGTAGTCCATGTTTCCATGTACCAAGGTTCCATTTTGGGGTTACCCTATTTTTGACCCACAGCCATTGGAAATCTCTTGAGGTTCAAGGAGACGTCTCGTGTTGGCCGAAAGGGTGAACCTTTACGGAGGTCGCGACCCGTATTTGTTGTCCGGCTGGATGAGCTGGGAAGAAGGCCGAAGGGGAAGCCACTCCCTCCGTGTATTGTTTTGTAGGGGGGTTGGCTGGTTGAAAGTGAATTCGAGTTTGGTCCACCTTAGCTGTGACTTGTGCGCAAAGAAGAACCCTTTGGCGTGCTTTGGTTTCGGTTTCAACCAGTGGTGTGCTTTTGGTTTCAACCAGCTTGCCACTTTGCATGACACCCCCTTACTTTGCTGCTAGCACCGCAAAGTCTGAGTCTTTGAAGATGCGAGTCTGGGGCCCATTGCTTTTTCCCCCGACTACAAGGGTGTTTCCTAAACTAGGACGTCCGCTTTGGTGGCGTCCTTACCTGTTTAGCATCCGCGAGGTTACTCCCTTCAAACTGGCATGGAACCCAACAAAGCAGTCCACACAGGAGATTCATCTTGACATGAAGGCTTTTTGGGTTCCATAACAGCTGCAGGACAATCACCTTTCCAGGTTTTTTGCCCGTTCCAGTTGCTACGGGTAATGGAGTTCTCGGCCATTTGAGCACCAAAAGGAAGCGGCTTGCTTGTCCGTTTTCTTGGGAGCCCCTGGGCGTGAGGACAGCCTTTACCACACGCGCGCCTGGGTGATGCTGCTGCTCAACTGTCTCCAGCTGCTGCTCAGCATCCTGTGACTTGGCAGCTTGGGGCGGAACTGGTTTTTGGAGGCTTTCCTGGGGAGACAAATGCTGTGGGTTGTGTTTTTGTGAGGGTGCCCTTTCACAGCTTGGTTTGGATTGGACGGACAGCCGCCATGTCTGGTCTCTCCCTAGCCTTGAGACAATCTAATGTGCCAAAGAAGGGATCCCTTTCTATGCCCAAAAATCGTCTCTGTCCGTCTGCAAACCCGGAACTGGCGAGTGGCTCTCACTTCTGTGTTAAGCAACCCCGTCAAGTGAAGAATTCGTCCTTTGCTACGCGCGACTGTGGGAACCGCCCCGTTTTCGCCTCTTTCAATCTGCCGCAGGGTGTCTCTTTTTTTGATGGGAGGGTCGTAAATTTACAACAACCATCAGGCTTTTGTTTCCTTGCTTGCTTTATGGCTGGTACCCTTCACAACCAACCAAACTTAACACCTTCTCTGTTTTCTTCTTCTATTTTTCTGTTTCTAGCGGGGGATCCCCACTGCAAGCCAGACCGCACCTTTGTTCCTTCTTTCTCAGGGATTTCCCGCTTTGGGCATCTTCTTGTTCGGCAGGGTTTAGCCTTTGACATGCCCGGATAACAACTATTTCCTTCTTTTTTCGGAGGGTTCCCCTTACGGCGCCAACAAACAGAAGAGGTGCCCCTTGTTTCCCATGGGCAACCACTCGAACATGTGCTCCTTTTTGTCGGCCCGCGCAAGAACACCAGGCATGTGTTGCAGGCGTTTAAATCAGATCTAGCCTTTGCAGAGAACGATGGCTGAGGTGCTTTCTTTGCGGCAGTACCTTCGGAGTTCCGCTGATCTTTCGCCTTGGCGTGGTCACGGACCTGGTGTTCCTGGTACTGGGTTACCTGAGTTTCCCCAGGGCCTTCTTCGGGGATATGCGCTGCCGAAGCCCCCACAAGCAGTGGCTCTTCTCGACCTACCTGAAGGCTTCCGGCATGTGCATGTATCATTTCCTCCCAGACCTCCAGTGGCGCCACATGTCTTTTCTCTTCGTTTTTGAGGGAGGTTTTTTCTCTTTGTTTTTGAGGGAGGTTTCCCTTCAAGATCAACTGCAAGGAAACGAGCGCCTTTTTCTGCATGGCCACTGCGGGTCCGCCTCTGAGTAACACGGACCCCTCGAATTCCTAAGTCTTACCCTGCCAGGACTCGAACCTGAAGGACAAGACGTGAGTGCGGCAAAAAGGAGCGATATGGCCGTGGTTCTGAAGTTGGGGGCAGGGGTGTGGCGGTGTGGCTGTGTGGGGGTGAGGGGTGTTACTTTTGCTTGGGTTGTTTTGAAGTTTTGAAGTGGGAGAGTGATGCGGCTGATTCTCGGAAGATTGTAAGGAGCAAGTCGGAAATCCTGTCATCTCAAGGGTTTTGCACTGTGGTGTTGGTTCACCTGCAAGATTTAGATCTGAGGAGTGAGCCAGGGGTACCAACTCAACAGCCGTTGGATTGCGTGCAGCCCAGCTAAACTTGGGGTCCTATTTTAGGCGAGCCCCCAAAATGGTGGTTTTCTGTTTGGTTTCCCCAAAAGCAATGGACATGAATTTACAGGAACCTTAAGGAAACTACCCGGTTGGATGGCGTTCCAGTCGTCACGAATTGGTTTGAAAGTAAACCACGTGATGGCTTGAGCCTTTATATTAGCTTTGCCGGACTTCGACGCAGCGGTTGTTCCAGCCAGGGGGACAAGTCCTCAGCAGAACTCACGCATACATCAGGCACTAGGGCTCCCACTCGCCTTTGCAGTAGGCGGCCAGAGACTTTCCAAACTTTCGTTTTGAAGTGGAGGTTTGCCACTCCAAGGCACTGTGTTTTTGTCCAAATATCCTTTGAGGAACTGATCCTAGTTCCAATGGTCTTTTTTTCTTTTTCTTTCCGGTAAAGACTTGTTGGTGAAAGCCCGAGGGTGGCGAAGCCTTTTTTTCCCCGAAGTCTCAGGTGAATTGGGCGGTGCCGCACAGCGCAGCTTGGATGGACGTGTGGATTTGTTTTGTCGGCTCGGGAACGCATTTCGGGGGGTCCCCCTTTAAGACAAACCCAAGTGGGCGTGGTCAGGATTGCCGATAGCCTTGACGCGGTTGCCTGTGGGGGCATTCCCTGCGCAAATGGGTCTGCTTGAGCGCAATGCGCGCGCCTCTCGGTTTGTGGCACATCCCTTAGGGAACCCTGGAAAGCTTTGTAAGCGACAAGGAGGGGGGAGAAACAAGAGCTACCACAAGCAGGCTTTGCTGCAAGGTTTGCGCCTGGGGCCTGGAGGTTTGGCTGTGCAACAGTGGGCCTTTAGGGTTGTTTTAGGTAAAGCCAACAAGAAAACCACCCACCCGAGGGGGGCCCCATTCGACTCCGCGCCCAGGCGCATTATATCGCCCTCAGTTTTGTGCAGTCCGCAGAGGACATTTTGGAATGCAGGCGGGAGAGCTTCTTTTTTTTTTTTTGAATAGCGGCCCACTCCGTTGGCCAAACGCCCGGACAAGGTTCTTTTCAGAGAACCCTCGCTCGCTTTGGATTGGTTTGGGGATTGAACCACTGGGGTCTTGTAGAGGCTAACTGGGGTTTCCTTCCCATCCTCTCCAAACCAATCCAAACCTACAGGAAATCTGACTTCTTGGCGATTTTATCCTCAACGCTTGGTGTTTTTTTCAAGTCGGAGCTGTTTAGTCCGACCGGAAACCGTGTTTGTCGTTGTTATTCGGGTATTTGAGGTGGGAAGCTGATGGGATGTTGAGTGTGACCGATGGGATGGTTCATTTCATCTCAGGACCTGAGAGTTCTGCAAGCAGAGAGGTGAAGCATCAGTCCCACCCAACTAATATGGAAGTGCACCAAAGACCCTTTCCAACAGGGAAGTCGTTTTTCTACAGGAGTCTGTGCACTTCCATGCTAGTGGATGGGAGGGCAGCTTGGAGTTTTGCATTCGAACTCCACACCTGATTCAAATCCCCACAGGTTTCCTCAAACGAAGGGCCTGGAAATCTAGTTTTTGCTGAGCCGAGGCGCGTCCAGTGACCAAATTAGCACAGTGGAAGACATGCTTGCTCATAGTGGTAACTGGAAGTGGGAAGGCTGGGGTTGGTAGCCTTGAGCGGGGAGAGTGACTTGGATTGCTTCCTGGGTGACCCTGTCAATCCACGGAGTATTCCCATCAGCCTGATCTTTTTTTGGGTTTCTTGTCAATCCTTGGCTTTTGCTTGACTCTTAAGCAAAAGCTCGCAACGGTCATTCACCCTCAGCTCGCAACGGGAGGTTTCAAAGCAGACCAGTTGCCCTCCGCCCTAAAAGAAATCCACCATGTCGCGCACGACATGCAACCCGGTACAGGACTTTGTTCGGATTTCGAGTCCTGGTGAAGCGAAGCGCTCGCCTTGGGTTTCAGCTTCATGCGCGGGGAGGGGACGAAGCCATTGCGAAGGGAGGGGACGGCCGAACTGAGAGAGAGAGAGAGAGAGCTGCAGGAAGCACTGCGCGAGTGACACCAAGATCATCGCAAAGATCGAGAATGCCGCGCCGACCTGTCATGGACCGGGGGTGGGGTGGGGGGGGGGGGGACAAGCCCAAGCCAAGGATAAGCCCAGGACGAGCTTTTAAGGCCCCAGCAAGGGCTTAAGAAGCACGGCTTCCCCCCCCATGTGGGAATCCATGGAACAGATTGCTGGGGTTCCTGGACTTTGGAATCGCTTTGATCACGCGTGACTCTCTGGAAAACCGATCGATCCTATGCTAAGATTCTTTCACCCATCCATCTCTTCGGACACCATGCAGTTTCCACAGGCTTTGCCCATTTTGTGAAAGAAGGATCTATGAATCGATGGAGAAGAAGGCTGCGGCGAGACCTACGTTGCATCTTCCAACAAGTAAATTCTGAGATTTGGAGGGTGCAAATGCGACAATTGACGTTAGACTGCAGCTAGCACATTTGGTGTCAACACGTCCTGTCCATTCGGGACATGAAAGGACTCAGATTGTCCGCACAGGCCGAAAGGACTCACCAATTGCGGAAGTCCAGTTGAACAAAAATCCCGAATTAGCTCCGGGCTGTGGTTGGTCGGGAGACGCTTGGGTAGCTCCCTTAGCTGGTTTGGGAGCTTCTCAAAATGCAAAGGGGCCCCTCACCTTTGGGGGTATGAAAAGGGAACCACAAGGACCACCCCTTTGAGACACCCATGCTATGTGGCCATGGTTCAAAACCACTGTTTTTTTTTTGGGGGATAGGCGAATTCACCACCCATTTTAGAACCTATTTTAGTGGGGATTGGGATGTTCACTGGGGGTACGGGGTTTTGACCCATAGCCATGTGTCAAATTCGTTTGGACTCAGGAACTGGCGGCTTTCCTTTTGGGAAGATTTGGGCCCCGAGCCTCAGGAGGAAGCCCATCTCCCTTGGTTCCATGCCCGGAGTTTCTCATGTGGTGCCCAAAATGGGGATGGTTACCACTCCACTGTTGTCTTTTTAGAAGGCTTTCTGGGTGTTCACTGGGGTACTGGGGTTTTGACCCATAGCCATGTGGGCATGGGTCAAAATTAGTCGCCGCCCAGGAATTGGACCGCGTTGGAATGTCCATGGATTCCATTTACCTTGGGCAAGCCATTTTTGGGTTGCCAACTATTTGTGACCCACACCCATTCCCTGGATCGCAAAACCACAGAAGCAAAACCTCAGAAGCAAAACCTCAGAAGCAAAACCTCAAAACCTCAGAAGCAAAACCACAATTGCGACCCAACAATGTCCATATTCCATTCCCCCAGAAGCAAAACCTCAGATCCGCCCCAAACCCACAGGTGGAAGGTCTCCGGAACTTCGATGCCATCCTGCAAGAGGCGCAGCCCTCGAAGCTTTTGGTTTGGAAATGAAGGTACCGAAGAGGACATGGGTGGCTGATCTGTTTTGGAGTTGGTACCCATGTTTTGTGGTTTTAACAGGAAACCAAAAGGGAGCACCACCATTTTAGGGGGTTTTCTATTTTGGGACCCCGAAAAGAGGTTGGCAAAGGGGGTTCGCTTCTGATTCACCATTCCAAACCGACAGGGATCCGCAAGTAAGGTATCATAGTGGAGCTCAGGAAGTTTGCCAGAAATTAGGATCTGAGTGAAGGCGTGTGGGCTTCATTTCTGCAACCAAGCGTACAGGCAACCATTGGCCGTGCGGGGTCATCACAAACCAGACCGTGTTCAGACCATCGAACACCTGGGGTTCTGAAAGGAGGTGTCAAAACCCCGAGGCACTTTTGCTGGGTCCAAAAAGGGTTTGACTCTTCATCCCCCAATCTTCAGTTGAAATGGAGACCTGGAGGACCCAAAGAGCGGCGCAGCCCTTCAAATTGGGCCCCGCTTTTTGGTTTCGTGCCCTTGAAACCAAGAAAACGTCCTGAAGTGCGAAACCAAGAGAAGGAACCCGAGTAATTTGGAGGTATCAGTTTAGCATTGCCTTGAATTGGGGCGGTTGTTGGGGGTTCGCCTCGAGACACACCAGTGCCACGTCAAGCATCATATTTCCAGTTTTAGCTGCCCGCATTTCGCATTTCCCTGCCGGATCGTGGATTTTGACCTCCGGTCGGATTGGAAGTGGTCTCTTGCTACAGAGATATTTTTTGCATGAGGCGCATTGCTTGACGTTCCCCGGCCGAGGCGGACGGCATCATGGTGGCCAGAGGCCGAATCGGGGGGAGGGGATTGAACACAGCCCGTGTCCCTAGAGAACTCTCCCTGGAAAGAATGGCGAATTTGCCCTACAAACAGGAGAGCTGTGCTTGATGTGTAGCTTTTCAGTCAGTGAATCAATGCGACTCCATACAGCTGTCGCTTGAGCTGTGTCTTGCTTTGGCAAACACGGGGCCCGGTGAAGGGACCGGCAGAAACGCATCTTGGAACCTCTCAAGACATCCTACTGCAAACCAAGGTCCACCCGCCCCCCCCCCCCCCGGCAGGTTTTCACGTTTCGCCTTTATCTGTCCCAACCTCCATGGTGTGGTGCCCTTTGGTTTCCCTGAACAGAGTCCAACTTTGTTTTCCCAGGGACTGTCAACCCTGGTCTTTTTTTCCTATGGGAACCACTGTGGATGGACGAAATCCTGCACCACCTAAGACTGTAGATACCAACAAACAGCGGTTTCCCATGGTTTCACAGTGGTGCAGGATTTGGTCCATCCACAGTATGGTCTGGACCAGCTTCGCAGTCCCTTAAGTCGGAGAAAAAACAGCAAGAAGGAAGAAAAGCAGGAGATCTGGGCATGGAGATCCCCATCGAGCGCATTTGGATGGCGCAGAAGTTCATGATCAAGCGCTGCAAGGTGGCCGCGGCGAGGGGGACATGCCTTGTGAGGGCGGCCCATGAGAAATGTTTGGCAAGTGAGTCACAGAATTATGTGGTTTGCTGTTGGTCAGGGAGGACATCGGGAGACCAGCCTTTGGAGAAGCAAGTCATTTCGCCCGGACTTTTTCGAGCGTCCCCCTTGTTTGGCAGGGCATTTTTGCACACATGAAGCTCAGATGGGAATCCACCAATGTGTATCAGAAAGTCCTTGTTTTCCACTTGCCTGGGGTTCAGGATCGGAACTGCAAGCGGAGAGTTTGCGATGTGGTCGAAAGCCGCGCATTCGACCTTGACCAGTTTTGTCCTTTTTGTCTGCAGGAAAGTTGCCAGTGAGTTTGGGCGCCCAACCCCCCCGCTTGTCAACCATGGGCTGACTTTGGTGGTGAAATCATGGCTTTTGCAGCAAGGGATTATTTGACACTTTGTAGGTGGAATCTGCCAACATGAGCGATGCCCATATCAGTTGACAAGGCACCAACGCCAAGGGTCGCTCATTTTGTCAGATTGCCATTTCTCTAGATACCGCCACAAAAATGGATGATGTTCCATTGTCTTCTCCTTAAAACCAACCTCTAATTCCTGCTCCCCCTCCCTTTCGCTTTGTTTCCCTCATGCGACTTACATGTTGCGTCGGGGCATGACTCACGTGCACGAGTCACGTTGCCACTTTGTCGTGCAGGGTGTGTTCAGGCTGCCGGGTTTAGTGTTGGGACCATCCCCAGAAAAGGTGGGGACCTCATTGGAACCACACTTGCGGATTTGTGTTTTTTCCGCAGGAGGCTGGCAAGATGGCGGTGACCGCCACCGAGATGTTGGCATCCATGGAGGACTGACCTAGTCTTGAAAAAGGGCTCAGGTCCGCCGCCAGAATAGCTCTTAGAACCCTTCGATCAGAACCCTTTGATCACAAGGTTCCAAAGGACCTTGCCTGTGTTGGCGGGGGTGCTTTTGCTTCCGTAGCAGAGAACTGTTGTTCCCCGTTGAAGTGAAGAACGAGTCATTGGGAAGGCTGATCTCCTAGTGGTATCACAGAAGTGGTGGCAATTCCCACAACTCTGAAGCAGCCTCAAAGCCAATCCTTCATGTTTACTTTTTGATCTCATGTTTCAGGAATTCATGGTGAGGAATCCTCTGGAGGTTCCCTGAAAAGGGAGTCAACGGAAAACCATGGGAGGAACTCATATAGAAGGCTACATCCACATTGGAGTTGTGGAGAGCAGAAGCATTGGCGGTGCTGCTCTTAGGGTGTGAATCACCCAGTTTGGACGAGGTCAAATGCCGATTTTCCGCGGCGACAATCAGTGCGAGCATTGACGCACGTGTGCTGCGCCTATATTCAGCCATGGGCCGAGCCGATCGTCGGCGCTACATCAAAGCCGGTATAATCAGTGACAAAGACGCTAGAATTCGCTTATTGTATGAACGGTTGAGAGGCAAATATGGTGATCTCAAGAACGGCAGGATCGAGCTCAACAGTGACTACCTACTACGTTGCAAGGGTTGTAGATTCGTATATCATGCCATGTGTGCGAAAACTTGCTGTGAAATCCGATGCTGGAGACGATTTGCTGGCGGTCAACTATATGAGCCCCATAGTTTATCTTCAAGTACCGTCCAAACACGCGTCCTTTTTTGCGTCCCGTAGTGTTACCATCAGAGGAGCCTGTATGAACGTTGTCGCGTCACATGCTCAAACTGTTCCTGTCAAGCATGTGTCCAAATTCAGACGGGCCCTGCTAGACTATGGTTGCCTCTTTTCCCTTCAACGGCCCATATGAGCGAAGACCAAGAACTGGTTCGATCAAATGGAGTGGGGTAAAAAGTATGCTTCCCAATATCCAACAAAAAGAAAAGAAAATGTCTTACCTATTCCCAAAGAAACGAGACTAAGTCGTTTTGCCGTTAGCTTCTCGAGAGCAAAACTAATTTGATCCCTTGAGAGAGCTGCTTTAGTCAAGTCGCTCTAACAATTGAGACCTTTAACCTAAACAGATCAAACAAAAAAACAGACCACGCTCCGCCGCTTTTTGCAATTGTTTTCTCCGCGGCACCTCGGTCGGATTTCTTGACAGGACAAGCCCTTCCCCACTCGGGCAGAGGCCTGTGACGTGGCGAACGGAGTGCTGGACGGCAGCGACATGGTGATGCTGAGCCGCTGGCTCGGTTGGGGCGGGGTCGGGGGCGCGAGCGGGAGCGGCCGGGGGAGGTTTTGTTTATGGATACCGGGTGCCCTGGGAAAATGGGATCTGACTGGGAGTATGATGGGGAGCTAGTTAAGCCACAAATCCCTGGATTCATGGGGTTCAAACCATTTACGATGGGATCTGGTGATTTTGGGGGGCCATCTGAATTTACCAGGCATACTAATCCGCACTTTTTCATGGGAAAGCTCAAATCCGCGACCCGGCGTTTCACACAGAAACCCAAAGGACATCCATATGTCGGGGCCGAAATCCTGGAAGAGACGCCTTCCTTGTTCCTTCCAAGAAGGGTGCCGGGAGATTAGTCATGACAACTTCCCTCAACGAAGAGAGGTCGATGACACACATGGCATGCACTAAAAACCCCTTGCGGCCCTTGTGGTGGAAAGGACACCAAAAGACACACCATTTTCGGGGTCGATTTACTATTGGACTATGGGGCTGTGGGTTTTTGAGGGTACAGTTGGATGAAAGTGGATGGCAAGCTCCACGTAAAAAGATGTTCCCATCCTCTTGCGGACACAATCGGAATACTGCCGTCTACTTTTACCGGACCCCTTTGTGGTTCCTTGAAAGGGACCCTAAGGGAAAATCATTTTTAGGGGTCTACGTTAGGGGCATACATCATGCAGTCGATCCATGGCCAGCCAGTTTTCTTCCAACTGCGCAACGTGTTTCAAGGTCCCAAGCTAAAACCCCCATTTCAAATTTAGAAAGACGTCGCCTCCGAAACCACATTGGCAGTTTCAAGAAAGTTAGCTCCACTGCGTAAGACAGCTCTTTCACATCATCCCTCAGAACTGGGGCAGCACCCTACTGATCAACCAGGGCTTGATGAATCCTGGTTTCCCATCAAAAAGGATCCCCACTCAAACCTCTGTGGCCATCCGGAAGACGGGTTTGTCTCAAAGTCAGGACACCAAACCATGGTGTGGTTTCCTTCTGGTTCTCTGAAAAAGAGAGGCCCAAAAAAAACAAGCAACAGGAGGTACCCTCAAGGAACCGACCGCCCTCCGGAGGTCCATTTCCCCCCCTACGACCGAGGTGGGGAGGTGGCGAATGGGGACTTCCCGGTGCAAACCTGCGAGATGATGCGCAGGAGATGGGAGGGGGGTTTTCCGGGTGGCTCGTCTTTTTTGGAGTTGGTAATTACCCCCGTTTTTGGTTGGGTTTGAAGGGAAGCGAAAAGGAAACCATCCATTTTGGGGGTCCCCCGAAAAAAACCAAACACATGTCTTGGCTACTTGATGGCGAGCCCACTATGAGGGTCGTTTACTTCCGTACACAGAAAGCCAGGTGCGTTTCGGCGGGAGTATGTCAGGTGCAGATTTGAGCAGGCCGGCAGGTTTGGGTACAGCAGGTTTGGGAATCTAAGTCTCGGCGCTCAGTTTGGAGAACACCTGCTGATCGGATGCCGGATGTGCGTTGAACTCCGCTGGGCTGGCTTTGCATTTTTTTTTTATGGCAAAGCACGCAGCCAGCAAGTTGCCTCTAGGTCAAGTGCCCTTTGCATGGGTGATTCTAACAGCCCACACTTGCAAGTTTCTGCCGACATGAAGGCGGCATGTGCGGTATATGCACATGCCGCCTCCCACGTGCGCATACAGGGCGCCCCAACAGTGCATGATGGTCGCTCCTCAACACAACGGTTTGATTGCGGTGGACACGTACGCATATTTTCGGCAATGCTACAAAGATTAGGGTCTCTTGCACTTGATTTGGATGGGTAAGACAAATGGCTAGACCTCCAGGAATCTGTTTGCGAGAATGGGACGGGGTCCTTTGAAAGAGGGGAGGGTTTGTTTTGAGACGTTATTTAAAGCATTGATTTGTGTTTGTGTAGTATCTGGCACTAAAACAGAGTTCAAACTTTTCAATCCACTGGTTTTGACACAAGGGAAATCAAAATAAGACAGGCATTGCTGCAGGCAACAGAGCAATTGGAACGAGGTGAGGCCCCTTCTGAACATTTGGGGTCCGAACCCATTTCGAATCAATTGAATTTCAGTGATTCTAGTCGCCTAAGGTGGCCAAGGGTAGCCACCATTTCAAAACCAAAGGGGAACGCTCTTAAGGTGACTGGGGGCTTTGCGACTTCGGGTGTTTTGGAATGATTTGTTGAGGCCTCTGCCACCCAAGAGTCTAGGGAGAGGCTGCATGAGAGGCTTTAAAGTGGCGGGGGGCGGGGGGGGAGGTACCTTCCTGAAATCTGAACAGTTCCTCCCAACATGCCATGGCGCAATTCTGGCTGACGTCTGGTTCCGGAGGTTTGTCGACTAGTGGAAGAGGGTGATCTAGCTTTGACCGTCGCAGGATCATTGAGGAGACTGAGCATGCCATGGATTGACGCGCCTCCCTTCCGTTCGTCACAAGATAGAATCTAGGATGCCACAAAACTCTTGTGGATGTGCACGGAGACGTGCGTGCGCTGTTTTGTGATCGTTGACAAGAGAAAGAGCAAGCAGGCCGCACGCGTGCGATGGAGCACAAGCCAGGCTTCTCGCCTTGGATTTTCCTGTCTCGTGAGAAGGGCAACCAAAGTTGCTCCACATTCTCACCTCTTGAGTCCGCTGCAGGAGGTTTTTTGCCCGCAGTATCCTTCGCGCGTTTGCGTGACGTTGGTTGGTTCCCAGCCCCGCAGCTCCGCAGCGGCTTCCGGCCCAATTGTCTGTGTCCTGTATAGGCGGACCCCGTTCCGCAGATCTCTTGTCGCTGGTGCGACCGAAGGCTCGGTTGCGGCGGAAAAGGGGAACTGCATGCGGGGTGAAATAATTTCCTCTGCAAAAGCTTTGGTGGACGGGCAATTCGGGAAGGCATTCCCCATTTACCGCGTCGGTTGTGGATTTCCTGTCACATAGTTTTGGTTCATCCCACCAAGTGCCTCCACCACGTGCCAGGTGGCAAGGCGGAGCAAAGAGGTTTCCATGGATATGGCGGTCTTTGATTACCAAAGGAATTCATTGCGCCGAGCTCTAGTGCATATGTTTCCGCTTTGGGAGGGCACTTCCCTTCAGCAACCGCCGATGCCCCTCTTTTTCTTGATGGAAGCTCTACCTGGGAGGTCTAGGATTGCGGCAAGAGGGGCTGAGTTGTTTGGGCCGAGGTGTTGCAAATGCTGGTACGCAATTTGGAATCTCCAATCGGGAGATGGTTTGATTGGGAACTCCCGGTTCGCAGTCGTCCCCTTCAGTTGCCTGCGGGCCTGTTGCCTTGAAGTTTGACATGCAAGCTAAGCACACACGCAGAGAGAAGCGCTTTTTGGTGGAGTCTCCTTGCCTTTGGGGGGGGCCCTTTTGGAAGTGCATGTCAATTCAAGGGAGCCAACCAACAGAGACCAACAGACCAACAGACCAACAGACCCACAGACCCACAGACCCACAGAACCCAGGAGCATGGAGCATGGCCTCATGAAAGCGAGGGTTAGGCTGGATCGTAGCAAGCTCTTGGCACGTTTTCTTGGGCAATTTCCCAGTCCGAAAGTTTTTATTGGCGCTCACCTTGGTGCGATAACTAGGGATTGTGGAACGATGAGCCCAGGAATTGGCTCCCTTAAAAAGGAAACCACCAGGCGGGATGGTTTACGTCGGGGTCAGACTCCCTGTCTCCTTCGCATCTCTCGCATCTCGCACATCTCGCACCGATCCAAAGCCTCATGAAACCGAGGCGAAGCGAGGCGAGCGCCAGTCGACTGAGAGCCGTAGGTCCGTCCTCTTGATCGGCGAGCCGTAGGTTAAGACATGGATGGGTGTGGCTCAACATGAAGCGATCGGAGGGGCAAAAAAGCAGGTGTTGGTCCAGGCTTCCACTTGCCAGGGCAAGCCATTTCATTTTGGTGCCGGTGTTTTGAGCCACAGCCAGATGGCACTGGTTTAGATGGGTTTTGTTCCATTGACCAGGGCCATCTACTTTTCCAAAAGGCCATGGAGCCAGCGAAGTCCGGCCGGATCGGTTGGCAGCCGAAAAGGTTTGCTTAGAAATCAGGCAGGTGGCGGCTTGAGCATGCAGTTGCACGTTCCTGGCCCACGTCAGGTAGTAGCTTACAACTACGTTTCTAGATGAGGTAATCGGGGTTAGTTCCCTTATTCTTAGTTCCAGCACCTACTTATCTGAACATCCAAGTAAGTCGGCTTCTGCCATTCCCCTTCCGGTTTTGCCCCCCCCCCCCCGCCCAGGAAAAGCAAAAGGGGCCTTCGCCCATTTGCCACATGCTGTAGCTTGGGTTTTGCAGTTTGAACTCCTGCAAAATGTGCTTCAAGAAGTTCAAAGTCCGTTCGGGCATGGTCCGTGTTCTCTCCTTCACAGCTTCCCTGGAAGGGAGGCGGCCAAACTGGCTGGCCGCTTGGTGCGGAAAAGCTGAAGCTCTGCACTTGAACCTGGTTAGACCCCAGGAAGCAATCCTTGGAGCCCCCCAGGTATGCCCCCATCATCATGGATCCCCCAGTTGATGGCCGGGTGAAACGGGCAAACGGGCGAAACGGGCGAAACGGGCGAAACGGCCCACGAAAATGGGGGGGATCCCATGCAAGTCCCGCTTTTTTTTTTTTTAACGGGGGATCCCTTACTTCAGGTTTTGGAGTTGTAGGATTGTAAGGATCCAGGTGAATCTGCAGAGTGATGCACCGAATGGAGTCCTGGCACTCCCGCCGCTGGCGAGCGAGGGGAGTCTTTTCCGATTTTAGCTTGGTTTGAGACTCACCCATTTGCGTGCTTCTCAGCATTAGACGTTGGTGTCCTTCATGTTTCCTCTTAAATCCATCCCACATGAGGACCTGTATTTTGAGAAACACCCATTTGCTGTTCCGAACCATGAAACTACCAGATCAGTCGAAAGTTCAAAAACCGAAGCCACACCTCCAAACAGCTTCCAAGCGTCAGGTCGGTTCTAAACACCAGCCAGTTTTCTTCAAAATTCTTGAAACTTGTGTTTTCGATCAGAGTTTCTACCTGGCGGTGCAACTTGCTGTAACCCATCGCGAGTCGCCCAGTTCCGTGTATTCGCGCCCAAATCCCAGCTTGAAGCTTTCCGCAAGCTTTGTCTCGGTTCGGTGGGCGAACTCACCCCAAACCCTGAGCTCTTTTGCTCATTTTTTCCGCGATTTTTCTCCGAGCTGTTCCAAAGGATGCATTTTGTCAGGCGAGTTTCTTAGCCCCTATCCCAGAAAGGGGCGCCGGACTTTGTTAAAGAAAAAGGCAGCTGCTGGCTGGCAGGTGAGCTTGGACAGCCCGCTGGTGGTGCAGACCAGCACGACCGAGCTGGTAGGCCTGGGGCCTGGAGCGAAGGGTTCCCTTTCGGGGTGAAGGGAAAGGGAGCACCCCATCCATCCTGGAGGATGGCTATCTGAAGGCAAGCCCATTTTGGGATTGCCTGGGGCGGGGGGTTGGTGGGTAGGGGTTGGGTGAGTCTGACTGTTTGACTGCAACAAGTGAAATGGTGTTGTTTTTCCGTTTGCCTCCAAACAGCCAAACAGAAACGGCGCTGTTTTGCCAAAATGGTATCTGAAGTAGTCCAACATGATGTATACCCTCCCAAAAACATGGCTGGGTCTTTCTCTCCTTTTCCCTTGTCTGGCTCCTTGCTGCTTGTTTGGTTTCCCGGTGTCTTGTCCTGTTACAACTATTCTGAGCCTAATCGGGGGCGGGTCCTCGCTTTGGTGAAGCAAACCAGCCCGCCGTTCGCAGCGGAAAGCGGCAAGCGGACCGCTTCACACTCGAACTCGTGAACGGCGTGCGGCGGACTGCGTTCGCCTTGAACTGCTTGGGTTCCGAGTGCCCCGTTGCTTTCCTTCGCCTTGCCCATGACTTGGCCTGACCATGCCCTTGCGTTGCTTCCTTCTGCCCTGAGCCTTGCATCGGACTGCGCGTCCATAGCCCCGGAACAAGCAGTCAAAACTTCTCCCCCGGCAAGAAATCCCATGGCCTTTGGAGGTCTCGAACAGCGGAGAAATGGAAGGGGTCCCAAAATGCGAACTTTGACACATTGGGCGCGAGTTCCTTCCTCACTAGGTTTTTTAAGTGGTGCCCTTTTACCCCTTTTTTGTTGGGGAGGGTCCCCCTACTAATATAGACGACAGAAAAAAAGAAAACAAAAAGCAACATGGTACCCTTATTCTAGCCTCTCTGGAGGACCTAGCTCATATTCCCCACCTCCTGATAGGTTTAATAGAAGGCCGCGGCGCGGCTTCACAGCCGGAAAAAAAGGGCGGATGGGAAGTGCCGGGGTCGGTTTTTTGAGTGGATCCGATTTTGGGGTAGCAGGTCAACACATTCCGATTGTCATGGGAATGGCAGTGGATGGAGAGAACCCACAAAACCGCCGATTGGTTTGGGGCTTTGAGCCATCAATAGGGTTCCTCGTCCTTTTCGGGATTCCACCGATACGAGTTTTTTTGTCTTCCCACGAGGCCCTTTGTAACTTCCCATGGTTCATTTTGGAGGGGGAAGAAGCGACACCACCTGACCCAGAAGGAGGCAGCACGCCAAAGAAGTGCCCAACGAAAACCCGGGGAAACGGGGGGGAGGGAGGGGAGGGAGGGAAACGGGCCCCGTCAGGATGAAGAAGTTCACCACAACACGGCGTCCCTTTCGAAGCCGGAACGGTCGTCAAACCGTAGGCCACTTCGAGGCCATGGACGACTTCGAGCGGGAGCTGGAAGAGGCCACCCGCTCCGCAGGCACGCGGTAGGGAAGACCCTAGGAGCCCAACTCAGTATTTGAGGCGGGGGGGTTCAAGGCCTCATATTTAGGGTCTTGAGGTCCCAGGGTTTGTGCCTTTTGTTCATTTCTTCTTCTTTTCAGTGTTTTGTGGTTTTGTTCTGCCCGCGATTTTTTTTGTTTCCTTTTGTTCCCGTTCTCCAGCAGTTGTGTGTTGTTGAGTTTTGTTGTTGTTTGTGTGTTTGTGTGTTTGTTTGTTTGTTTGTTTGTTTGTTTGTTTGTTTGTTTGTTTGTTTGTTTGTTTGTTTGTTTGTTTTGTTTGTTTGTTTGTTTGTTTGTTTGTTTGTTTGTTTGTTTGTTTGTTTGTTTGTTTGTTTGTTTGTTTGTTTGTTTGTTTGTTTGTTGTTGTTGTTGTTGTTGTTGTTGTTGTTGCTGTTGCTGTTGCTGTTGCTGTTGCTGTTGCTGTTGCTGTTGCTTGCTGTTGCTGTTGCTGTTGCTGTTGCTGTTGCTGTTGCTGTTGCTGTTGCTGTTGCTGTTGCTGTTGCTGTTGCTGTTGCTGTTGCTGTTGCTGTTGCTGTTGTTGTTGTTGTTGTTGTTGTTGTTGTTGTTGTTGTTGTTGTTGTTGTTGTTGTTGTTGTTGTTGTTGTTGTTGTTGTTGTTGTTGTTGTTGTTGTTGTTGTTGTTGTTGTTGTTGTT